TTTACGCCCACTTCCATAAAAATGAACGTGTCGTACTCGAACGACTCTGTCACTGACATATACGCCCGCACGTCAAGGGAGGATGCAACCCTTCCAAGAAACGCGTTTCGAAGAGAGGATCCCGTTCGCGACTTCTTTCACGAGTTCTCGGCCACTTCGCGAGAGAGCTAAACGGTCCGATAAATTCTCGCTTAAAGTGGCTCGCCGCCGGAAACACGAAACAAGCTTTCCGTCGGTCCCATTTTCACCCCGTCTGTTATCCCATCGATCAATTTCGCGGCCGGAGCTGCGGAGCATCCCCCAAGAAGCGTTCGATCGTCGCCAGCGTTTTTTCCACCCCGCTTTTTCTTATATACAGGATGTTCAACAATTATGTGGCATGGATCGAAGGCTACTCGTGAAAAAGGTCATAAGTGGTGACATCAAATTTTTCACGAGGAGAAAGAAAGTTATCTATCATTGCGTTGAACATCGCTACAATGATGTCATCTTTGGAATTTAGAGGTACCTTGGAAATTAGAGGTTTAAAAATAGACAAGTAAAATACATATTTGCACAATTACATCAATCAAAATCGACGCAAAAATTTACCAAATAATATTTGCAATATTCGATTCACTATGAATTTACGCGTTGCGTAAATTCAGTGTCAACCCTGGTCTTTACAAAAAGTTTATCGAAAAATTGCCAAAAACCTCTGCATGCAGACAACGAACCAATGGGAATAAAGGACAGCTTGGCCTACGCTTTTCCAGCCGGCCCGGTTTTCCCATGTTTTATACTTAACGACCCCTCTCGCGTCCTCGAGGGGTGTGGTCTCTCTTTCCTCCCTCGTGACACGTTGGAGCCCGTAAAGAATTCCAGCGCGTGCCGGCCGCGGAATTTTGATATCGCGCTGCGAACGAGCGTTGCCCGACCCGACGAGTTTTCGTGACGGCAACGATGGGACACCAGCGTCTAATTGCGCGCGCTCACGCATCCGACACCCGTGCACGCACGTGTCCACAGCGACGGATATCAGATACGTCGCCAACGTGCTCCGCCCTCGTTGTGAGTTATCGGCCTTGCGGCCTGCCTGCCTGGCTGCTTACGTGGCTTGATATTTCCCTGACCGTCGGCCGGCGCGATGGAAAGCGTGGTCGTTGGGTTATTTAAGTTTAAATTGGTTGGGTTCTGAGTGGTTTGATTGATTGAGGGTGTCGTTTAGTTTAATTGAGCGCCGGGAGAAAGTTGGCAAGCTGTTTCAGCTGAAATTAGAAAGAAACTTAGGAGAACTTTGGAATTGAAATTTGAGGGGGACTTGAAAGTTGATGAGAACTTGATAGAAAATTGAGGAAATTTGGGAATGCTTTTGTTGGATGTTGAGGAGAACTTGAAAGAGACTTGAGAAAGTGTTTTGTTTGAAAGTTGATGAGAACTTGATAGAAACTTGAGAAAATTGTTTTACTTGAAATTTCGGGGGAATTGCGAGTGAACTTTGAGGAAATTTGGGAATGCTTTTGTTGGATGTTGAGGAGAACTTGAAAGAGACTGGAGAAAGTGTTTTGTTTGAATGTTGAGGAGAACTTGAAGGGAACTTGAGAAAATATTTTGTTTGAAAGTTGATATAAACTTGCAAGAAGATATTTTACTTGAATGTAGGTAAGAGCTTGAAAGAAACTTGAGACAATGTTTGACCTAAAACTTGGAGGAACTTGAGAAAATATTTCATTTAATACTTGGAGAAACTTAAGCAAACATTTCACTTGAACTTTGAAATATGCTTGAGACAATTTCACTAAAAATTCCAAAACTTACAAGACAATAAAAGGATGATTCAAAGTTACAAATACTTTGTTTCTTTCAACTAAAAAACAGTAAAACCAGTAACCAAACACATTCAATAATATAAAATAAAATTTAACCCCAAAAGAATGAAATCAAAAGTATATGGAACAATAAATAAACGAAAATGTTCAAGAAAATCTCTCCTCTTAAAGACATCCGAGAAGTCTCTGCGTTTTCCAGAAGGAAATACACTAGAAGGAGTGTAGTGTATTAAACACCAGTGCAGATCTTCGATTTCCAGTAACGAGGGTCCATTAAACGGAGCAGCGAATTTTTCTCGGCGACCGACGCCAATTACATTACGCAGAATGCGAACGTCTCGGAAACGTTCCATTTCAACCGGAAAAAGCACACTACACGGAACAGGAAATTGTTAATGCAAAGCGACGAGGGGGTCCGGCGGTCACCGGTTTAATCGATACCGCCATTAGAACAAAATGAAGTGTCGACACTTTTCCACGCGGAGACGCACGCTCGAGCGTAAAGGGTTAACGCTCGCGCGAGCGGGAGCTTAACGCGATGATTCGCGACAGGATGATTCAGATCGGTTTCGAAATGTGATACAGAATATATGAATATTTTTATGTTGTACAAAACAAATAGTAAATTAACTGAGAGTAAAGGAAAATATTCAAAAATTTCTTATATTCGTCTGCATAAGTGAATTTACAGGAAATTTATTTTTTAAGAAATTTTAAATAATATAGGTTGGAGGATGAAATTTTAGAATGATATTTTGAATAGTTATTCATTGTTTCTTTTTACTTGAAAGTATTGATATTAGAGATTTAATTTTATCTATTGCTAGTTTCGGAGTTCTTTGATTTGATTATGAAATTGTTGATTTGTGTAAATTGTTGTGTGATAAGCACTGTGAACGTTAGATTGTAGAGTTTTAAGTAT